TGTGTGACTTGCGTTATTGAGGTATTTGTTTTGTTGTGCTGTGGTTTGGAGCCGAACTGGCAATATCTCTGAGGTGTGACTGCCCTCTCAATTCATCAAGTATAAAGTGGAAAGGGTTTTGGTGCATGAAGCCACCGAATGAACCATTGCTTGTGTGAAAGGAAGGTACAGAAGTAGTTTAGCTTTTTTCTTGAGGTCTTCATGTATTGCTAAGGCTTGCTTTCTCTGTAAAGAAAGCTTGCTCCTGATCACTTTAGACATTTAACTTGGGAAAATCTTGTGTAAACCAATATTACTTCTGAGTTTTTCTGCTGTTTACTAATAGCATTTGAACTAATTCACATTCGAGAAATATGCTTTGTAGCAAAACTCATCTTTAGTTTCTTTAGAAAAGCTGTTTTATTGATAGCATCTTACTCAGTGATTGTGAAAGCCAAATCTTTGATCCTTGCCTTGAATTCTACTCAGGCTTTGTAGTTCAAAGACTTAAGTTTTACATTAAGCACTTGCCTTTTCTTACCCTGCACATCCCTGATTTTCTGGATTTCTTTTATTCTTGATTATAAACTGATTATTATTTTCCAAATTCATCATTTTCATGTAATAATTTGTTAAATACAACTAACAGTATTACCAACACACTTGTAATAGTCCATTTTCCCACTAGAGCTACTAGCTTTTGTGGTGTATTATCTGCCTTCTGCGATAGCTAACTGATAGTTTCACTGATCATTTCACCACTGCATAATATAAGTTGCTAATCTTTTAGCCTCCAATAACTTGCTTCCTTCCACCCAGCTCCTAAGCCTTTGTCATATATTTTAGGCTTTTTAAGGCAACACCAGAAATCACTTCTCTGGTTTTTACTTGTAGCAGTTTGGATAAGCCAGATTATGCTGTGTTAATAAACAATGCAAGATCTCAGTGGCTTTGAACACACCCTATGTGGCCAGGCGCGGTGGCTCACCTGTAATCCCAGCACCTTGGGAGGCCAAGGCGGGTGGATCACCTGAGGTCAGGAATTTGAGATCACCCTGACCAACATGGGGAAACCCCGTCTCTACTAAAAATACAAAAAAGTTAGCTGAGCATGGTGGTGGGCGCCTGTTAGTCCCAGCTACTCAGGAGGCTGAGACAGGAGAATTGCTTGAACCTGGGAGGCAGAGGTTGCAGTGAGCTGAGATGGCGCCACACCACCCCAGCCTGGGCGACAGAGCGAGACTCCCTCTCAAAAAAGAAAAAGAAAACATATGATGTGTATCCAGTACATCATATTAGCTGTTAGGGGACCAGGCTGAGAGCAGCCATCACCTGGAAGATTGCTAGCCATGGTGGCAGAAGGAAAAGAGGTCTGAAGGATTTCATATTGGTTGGTAAATGCCCTGCCTCTCCCTGTCACTTTTCATAATGTGCTGACTAGAAGTAGTTACAGGGACCCATCCAGCTAAAGGGAATGGGAGTTGTGGGGGTGGTTTAAAACCAACTAGGCTGGGCACGCTAGCTCACACCTGTAATCCCAGCACTTTGGGAGGCTGAGGCAGTTGGATCACTTGAGGTCATGAGTTCGAGACCAGCTTGACCACTATGGTGAAACCCCGTCTCTACTAAATATACAAAAATGACCTGGACATGATGGAGTACACCTCTAGTCCCAGCTGCTCCAGAGGCTGAGACAAGAATTGCTTGAACCCAGGAGGCAGAGGTTGCAATGAGCCAAGATTGTGCCACTGCACTCCAGCCTGGGTGGCAGAGTGAGATTCCGTCTCTAAAAAACAAACAAACAAACAAAAAAAGTATAGCCTACTATCTGCCTAGAAGGCTGAGAGCCTGAAATATTTGGAAAATGAATTAATGATTACTCTTTTTTTCTTTGTCTTTCTGATTTTTGTTTAACTCCTAGCTTTTGCTAGTTAATTGAATTTTACCATCACTCCTCCCTTGCTTAATTTGAGATAATTAATATGAGGTTTATTTAAATGATACTCATAGTAGTTCACATCTCCAAGTGAGAAGTTTTGGCACTTGTAGAATAAGGTTGCTAGGATTTTCCTCCTTAAAATATGAGGCATGAAACTGGTACAAAAAAATATGCATTTACAAGAATGATTGAGTTTAAATTATTTCAAGGTGTCTTTTGTCGTAATAGAAAAAGACCATGAGCTTTTGGAGTCAGGCAGGCCTGGAGTCAAATACTACCTCTGTCATTTGATGGATTCGCGATCTTAGACAAATTATTTAGCCTCCCTGAGCCATAATTTTACCATTTATAAATACAAGAAAGTATAAATATATGTATTCAGATGTCAGGTAAAACATGGTAGCATTTATCACCACTCCTACCTGAAATTCCATTAAAGCAAAAGTAAAATTTTCTTTTTTTAAAAAACAAATTCACAAGGAAAAAGAAAATGGGAGAGATAATGGAAGGGAAGACAAAGGACTAGCATAGGAGTGATAGAAATAATTGTGAACTACTCATAGTCATAATATTAGTAATACTGATTTTTTCCAAAGTTGTGATATAACTATATTGGGAGCATGAGGAAAGAGTTGGGAACAATAAGGTAAGAAAACTGTAGAGAAAGGCAAGGTAAGGCTGGGTGCAGTGGCTCACGCCTATAATCCCAGCTCTTCGGGAGGCCGAGGCAGGCAGATCACCTGAGGTTGGGGGTTCGAGACCAGCCTGACCAGCATGGAGAAACCCCATCTCTGTTACAATTACAAAATTAGCTGGGCGTGGTGGCACGTGCCTGTAATCCCAGCTACTTGGGAGGCTGAGGCAGGAGAATTGCTTGAACCCAGGAGGCGGAGTTTGCGGTGAGCTGAGATCGCCCCATTGCACTCCAGACTGGGCAACAAGAGCAAAACTCTGTCTCAGAAAAAAAAAAGGACAAGGTAATATCCGAAATTGAAAAAAAAAAATCCAGAAATAGGAATATAATCAAATCATGTAGAAATATAGAATTAAATGGAGAGGGGGCAGCTAAAATAGTATTATTGCCTCCAAGGAATGGGACTGAGATAAATTGGAATGTGGCCAATACATTTGACTTGTAAAACTATGAATTTTTTAAATGATTATTTTGATAAAAAGTGAATTTAAAAATAAATCAGTCCCACCAGCCTGGGTAACATAGGGAAAAAAATTTTTCTCTAAAATTTTTTTTAAAAATTAGCCATGTGTGATGGTACATGCTTGTAGTCCTAGCTATTCAGGAGGCTGAGGTGGGAGGATCACTTGAAACCAGGAGGTTGAGGCTACAGTGAGCTATGATTGCACCCCTGCATTCCAGCCTAGGCAACGGAGTGAGACCCTGTCTTAAAACAACAAAAACCCCAAAGTTTTGTGGTGGTTATTAAATATAAATAATGAACAGTAAAAATTATTATAGTGGCTATGTCCATAGTAAGCATTTAATAAATACTAGTTTTCTTCTTTTTGTCAATTAGACGGGGTATGTATTTACAGTAATATCCATAAGACTCAGAGGATAGGTGGATTGGCTAAACAGCAGTGTGAGGTATGTCACAAAGCAAATTATATGCCCTTCTAAGCTTTTTAAAAATTATTGTTGGATGGTTTTGTTTTTCTTGGAACCATATCAGCTTGATGGTTATGGCTTCTTAGAATTTAGACTCCTATGCAACTGACACACACAAAAAAATCACCCAGTTACTGAGTGGAGGTAGTGAGCTATGCACAGAACAAATGTTAAAATACTTGGCAGCTTTGAAATTACTCCAATAAACCTGAAAACAATTATATTTAAACCTAGATTACAAATTATTTAAGGCCAAGGACACGTTTCTTCTCTTCTATAGTTACGTCAATTAGCTGATTTCCAGGGACTACAGTGCCTGCCCCACTACCACCTCTGTTCTGTGAACTCTTACTGTGGTGGACATGGTGATTGATGTTGAAAGAAAGTCAGCCGTATGAAGCTCTTGTGTGTTTCATGCCCACCACATTGTAAACTAGACTGTAAAGGCCCTGTGGATAGACAGCATATATTTTGCCATATCAGTATATTCCATAGTATCTAAGAAAATGAATGCTGTCCAATATTATTATTATTATTTATTTATTTATTTATTTTTTTTGAGACGGAGTTTCGCTCTTGTTACCCAGGCTGGAGTGCAATGGCACGACCTCGGCTCACCGCAGCCTCCGCCTCCTGGGTTCAGGCAATTCTCCTGCCTCAGCCTCCTGAGTAGCTGGAATTACAGGCACACGCCACCATGCCCAGCTAATTTTTTGTAGTTTTAGTAGAGACGAGGTTTCACCATGTTGACCAGGATGGTCTCGATCTCTTGACCTTGTGATCCACCCGCTTCGGCCTCCCAAAGTGCTGGGATTACAGGTGTGAGCCACCGCGCCCGGCCTGTCCAATATTATTTTATTCATCATATATATACTGTATGTTAGACACTGTGCCAAGCTCTCAGGATATCTTGGTGAAATGGACAGATGTGGCTTTGGCTGTTGTAGAATTTATAGTCCAACAGAAAATGTTTATGAATTCCTGTAATCCAGTAAAATAATGGCCCATACTGAAACATTTAAGCAGTTAAAAGCATTGTATATGTAAAGAGTTTAATAATTTTGGCAGGGCTCAGTGGCTCACACTTGTAATCCCAGAACTTTGGGAGGCTGAGGTGGGTGGATCATAAGATCAGGAGTTCAAGACCAGCCTGACCAAGATGGTGAAACTCTTTCTCTACTAAAACTACAAAAATTAGCCGGGTTTGGCAGCAGGTGCCTACTGGAGACTGAGCTACTTGGAGACTGAGGCAGGAGAATCACTTGAACTCAGGAAGCAGAGGTTGCAGTGAGTCGAGATTGCACCACTGGACTCCAGCCTGGGTGACAGAGTGAGACTCTGTCTCAAAACATATATAATAATAATTTTAAGCTATGTTTCTTGTGATTTAAATGCATGCTATAAAAAGGAAGTAGTGGTATTATCTGATTATTCTTTCCTCTTTGCTTTTCTTTGTAGATAAGATGCTCCAACTCCCTTGCAGTTCTCTTCAGAAGAAAAATCACTAGTGCTCTGCCCTTGCCGTAATACCAGACCTGTTTGACTTATGCTTTGGTGCTGCAACACTGGAAGAATTGCACAGTTTCCAGGAATATCTTTTTTTCATTTGAGTGATTCTTTGTGGATGAAAACAGATTTGAGTCTTAATAATTACCTTGTTTAAAAGCTGTTTTCTTTATAGTCTGAACTGCTTAATAAATTGGGCCGTTTACCAATGAGCCACACAGCCAGTTCTTGTCAGGAGCTGGTTGAAAGCTGTGCTGTGCATGTAGCAGGAATGGCACAAGAAGATAGCCGTCGTGGTCAAGTGCCATCTTCCTTTTATCATGGTGCCAACCAAGAACTTGACCTGTCCACCAAAGTGTACAAAAGGGAATCAGGAAGTCCTTATTCTGTGTTAGTGGACACCAAGATGAGCAAACCACATCTCCATGAAACAGAAGAACAGCCATATTTCAGGGAGACAAGAGCAGTGTCTGATGTGCATGCTGTTAAGGAAGACCAGGAGAATTCTGATGACACAGAAGAGGAGGAGGAAGAGGAAGAAGTCTCTTACAAAAGGGAGCAGATCATAGTGGAGGTAAACCTTAATAATCAAACATTAAATGTGTCTAAAGGGGAAAAGGGTGTCTCTTCTCAGTCCAAAGAGACTCCTGTTCTTAAGACAAGCAGTGAGGAGGAAGAGAGTGAGGAAGAGGCCACAGATGACAGCAATGACTATGGAGAGAATGAAAAGCAGAAGAAAAAGGAGAAGATAGTAGAGAAAGTCAGCGTTACACAAAGGAGAACGAGGAGAGCTGCCTCTGTTGCCGCAGCTACCACTTCCCCTACTCCTAGAACTACAAGAGGTCGTAGGAAGAGTGTAGAGCAACCTAAGCGTAAGAAGCGGGCCACAAAGGAGCCCAAAGCACCAGTCCAGAAAGCTAAGTGTGAAGAGAAAGAGACTCTGACCTGTGAGAAGTGCCCCAGGGTATTTAACACTCGCTGGTACCTGGAGAAGCACATGAACGTTACTCATAGGCGCATGCAGATTTGTGATAAATGTGGCAAGAAGTTTGTCCTGGAAAGTGAGCTGTCCCTTCACCAGCAAACAGACTGTGAAAAAAACATTCAGGTAGGTTTCATCACCGAGAGGGCAAACTTTTCAGGATAGAACCTGGCTGTTCAGATTCACCTGGTATCCGCCCAAGAGAATAAATACAGTAGAGGCTGAAGGGACAGATTTCACCAATTTATCATTTGAAAATCTTCTGCTTTGGTCTTTTCTAAACCAAGGCTTTTATATCAAAAGCATTAAATTTAACTGACGCTGGACTAGTGGGAACCCAGGCATACTGGAAGGGGGATCTGTTATAGCTGATTGACCAGGAGGTTAAAATCAACACCAACTTTGCAGAGCATTGTTGTAGGAAATGTAATAGAATTCATTCTGGCATCACCTCTGTGGAGGTAGGAGTTACTGAGTAAAGGTTAGGAGTAGAGAAAAGTCCCTTTCTGGGTTTACAAGGATGCCAGATTCTAGTACAGCTGATGGGGACAAAAACCATAATGACTCAGACCGGTGGAAATGGAAGATCTTCAGCAGTGAGTTTGCTTTTACCATTGGAGAGATGACAACACTAAATTTGCCAAGAGGCTGAGCCCATGGGAATATGCAAACATTAAGCAAAGGCTGAGCTGGTTGAAAATGTTGCCCACCTGGCAGTAGGGTTACATAATGCCTCTGTACAGTATTGTTAAGGCAACAGAATAATGGTATTCAAACCAGGCTGGTGTTGTGAAAGGACTAGTATTGTGATAGGTTAAAGACGTATGCTAATTGTGTTATGTCATATGGATTGCAGCTATATTGGTTTGCACATGCAAAAGCATATTAATGAATATTCATAAGAGGTAAGTCTATTCATGTATGCATAAGATATGTAACAAATATTTTGTACCATATTTAAGCTAAACTTATAAATTTTGTTGGTTTGTTTCTTGGAGCACTCCTAATATTGGTAGCCACCTTTTAAGTTTCACTTTTCTTCTGTTGCTTTTAATCAACAACTGAGATCATTGCTCTACTCTAAAGAGAGTTTAAAACATGGAAATTGCATTTGCTAAAAATTCACCGTTTTTGATTCATCAGTTGTGACTTGATCTCCAACACGCTGGGTAAAAAAAAGAAGAACGAGTCATGGAGTCCATATCCTCCGGTAACTGCCAGTGCCCTGGCTTGGCTGGGAATTGTTTGCAACACTTCAGCCAAAGGGAGTGTGGTGCAGTGCTGCACCCTAGGGGTCAAACTTGGATTCTGTAACCATCCATTACTGAAAGTGCTCTTGATTTTTATATATAGGTTTTGTGAGGTTTTTAAACTTAAATTTGTTTAAGTTGCAGAAAAGAAAACATTTAATAAATACTTTTTGTGTGTGACTTTCCTCATGATTCTTCATCATAATACTTTTAAACTTGTGTTTAAGTTTTGTGGATTCTGCTAAATGAACTTTATTCACATTCCTAAAGAACGCTGTACTTTGTTCTTGTGTATAGATCCTAATAATCCTGATGACCTGGTAACAAGTAAAAACCAAAACCCAAGCTGGGTGTGGTGGCTCACAGCTGTAATCCCAGCACTTTGGGAGGCCGAGGTGGGCGGATCATGAGGTCAGGACATCCAAACCATCCTGGCTAACATGGTGAAACCCCATCTCTACTAAAAATACAAAAAATTAGCTGGGTGTGGTGGCACGCGCCTGTAGTCCCAGCTACTTGGGAGACTGAAGCAAGATAATCATTTGAATCTGGGCGGTGGATGTTCCAGTGAGCTGAGATCATACCACTGCACTCCAGCCTGGGCGACAGAGCAAGACTCCATCTCAAAAAAGAAAGAAAGAAAAAAAAAAACCTGACAAAAAACCTGTCCTACAAAATGGCTGATAAGTCTGTCCTTTTCTAGAGCATTATCCAGCCAGAAGTTTATCTTTTAACTCTTCTCAGAGTTCTTGTTTCCTGAAGTGACAATGATGTTTAGAGATCTTTGTTTACAGTGAATATTAACATGTTACCTTAAGTATCCAAGAATTTAATGATTACCAAGGGCTTTCTAGTATTGTTTTGCTTTAACCAGAAATATTTTATGGTTAAATACATTATGCGTAATATTCCATGCTATTAATGATTCATGATACAAGGAACTAGGCAGTGTGGCGTGTGTTTTCTAGATTCTTGCAAGAGAACTCTGGAACTGGTCTGTAAGGGAAAAAGGATAGGCTTAGGTTAATTAAAGTTTAGACTAAAAATTTTTTTTAATTTTTTTAAGAAAGAGAGAGTGAGGCCAGGTACAGTGGCTCATGCCTGTAAGTCCCAGCACTTTGGGAAGCCGAGGTGAGCGGATCACAAAGTCAGGAGTTCTAGACCAGCCTGGCCAACATAGTGAAACCCTGTCTCTACTAAAAATACAAAAATTAGCCAGGCATGGTAGCACATGCCTGTAGTCCCAGCTACTTGGGAGGCTGAGGCAGGAGAATCACCTGAACCTGGGAGGCGGAAGTTGTGGATAGCTGAGATCGTCCCACTGCACTCTATCCTGGGCAACAGAGTGAGACTCCATCTCAAAAATAAAAAATAAAAATAATTTAAATAAAAGAGAGTGGAGTTTAGAGATTATATTCTGCCAGAGGGTAGTATTGAAAGTATCAGTTACAGTTGGAGAAATATAAAATTTTAATCATTTGTGTTAATAAATGCTCCAAATGCATTTTCTAAGGCATAAAAACATTTTTATATTTCTACATACCTATAATACCTATACCACTAATACATATTTTGTTTAATCTTGTTTTTATTATGCTAATTTAAAATTAGTTTATATTCTCTGGTAAACCCTTACTAACTGATGTGGAGGAGACAGCCACACTTGCTTAATACATACATTTTAAAAACTTGAATCTCTTGCAACTTCTGTTTAAAAAAGCTTGGCTGGGCATGGTGGCTCACACCTGTAATCCCAGCACTTTGGGAGGCCAAGGCGGGTGGATCACGAGGTCATAAGATTGAGACCAGCCTGGCCAACACAGTGAAATCCTGTCTCTACTAAAAATACAAAAAAAAAAAAAGAAAAGAAAAGTAGCTAGGTGTGGTGGCGCGTGCCTGTAATCCCAGCTACTTGGGAGGCTGAGGCAGGAGAATAGTTTGAACCCAGGAGGTGGAGGATGCAGTGAGTCAAGATCATGCCACTGCGCTCCAGCCTGGGCAACAGAGTGAGACTTTGTCTCAAAATAAATAAGTGAACTTGAAAGTTCTTTTCATAGGTACAATACTAACTTCGTAATAGCAATTAATTCCTTGATGTTAGTGGAACTTTCTACTTTTTGTCTTAGTTTTTGCCATTGTTTTCATAATCCCAAAGAGTGTCTAAAAGATGCATCTTAGAAAAAGAGAATGTACAGATGTTGGTGTTGGAATCTGGGCTCTGTGGAAGAATAGCATTTATCTGGACTCTGGCCTTGTGCCATTAACCTAAAGCACATCCATTTCATCTGCCAGTAGGCTGGTATGGCATTCTGTAAGCCCCTATAAATAAGATTATTTCTGTTTATCCTGCTCAGTGTGTTTCCTGTAACAAATCGTTCAAGAAACTCTGGTCCCTTCATGAACATATCAAGATCGTCCATGGATATGCAGAAAAGAAATTTTCCTGTGAAATTTGTGAGAAGAAATTCTATACCATGGCTCATGTGCGGAAACACATGGTTGGTAAGTTTTTCTGCTTTTCTCTCATACCTGTAATTTTCTCTTGTTGTTCTGTGTGCTTTGTGCCCTGGATTGGGCAGGATATGAGAAATTGCCCTATTCAGTTTTGACATGTTGAAACTAAATGCAATGTCTTCAGTAAGTATCATCAAATTGGATGGTATAGTCTTCTATACCCAGTTTCTTTTCAGCATTATTTTTCTCTTCAGACATTACTATTAGAGACTCACAAAGGCCGGGTGTAGTGGCTCACAGCTATAATCCCAGCACTTTGGGAGTCTAAGGTGGTCAAATCGCTTGAAGTCACGAGTTTGAGACCAGCCTGGCCAACATGGCGAAACCCTGTCTCTGCTAAAAATACAAAAATTAGCTGGGCATGGTGGCGCATGCATGTAATCCCCAGCTACTTGGGAGGCTGAGGCAGGAAAATCACTTGAACCCGGGAGGACGGAGGTTGTAGTGAGCCGGGATCACACAAGTGCACTCTGGTCTGTATCACAGAGCAAGACTCCATCTCAAAAAAAAAAAAAAAAAAAGCCTAACGCTTTACAGAGGATACCTTTTTAGTTTGAGATTTTTGGTGGATTTGCTTTGACGCAAAGTACACTCTGTCTTGCAGCACACACGAAAGACATGCCATTTACATGTGAAACCTGTGGAAAATCATTCAAACGCAGTATGTCACTCAAGGTGCACTCCTTGCAGCATTCTGGAGAGAAGCCCTTCAGATGCGAGGTAAGGAATGTGCTACTCACAGACCCATGCCTAGGGGCTAGTATTTGTGTAAGTGGCGGACCAGTGAGAGAGAGGTGTGCCGGAACAGGAGGCACAAGGCTGCCTTCCACAGAACCTTCAGACATGGTCTCTGAGCTCGGTGTGTGCTGTCACTGTGAGGTAGAGAAATGTCACTTTTAACACACTGTTATCTCAGATTAACTTGGAAATAACACATAATGACTTATTTTTCTTTTCTCAGTGATTCTGAGAATTTGAGTTTACTTCAATGATAATTTTATGAGGAATTTTCCCTTTTATTAATAACTCACCTGCAGAAATATAGCAAAGCCAAATAGCTGACACAAGCAGGTTCTATTTGGAATATGAAAAATAAGCCTAATATTGGAGACTATGTTAGGGTGGGCTCAGGTAAAGCTACTGTGCTTGGCATTCAAAAATCTCCACTGTGTCCAATGCAGAACTGTGACGAAAGGTTTCAGTACAAGTACCAGCTACGCTCCCACATGAGCATTCACATTGGGCACAAACAGTTCATGTGCCAGTGGTGTGGCAAGGATTTCAACATGAAGCAGTACTTCGACGAACACATGAAAACACACACTGGTAAGAATTTCTTGGGAAAGGTACAGATAATGTCTCAAGCCCTTGTTGATGATCATCTGTGGGTCTGTTTTTAAAAAAATCAAAACTACAAATTTGCATTTGAAGCAAAATTCCCACTTTAAACCTAATATGTAAAAATACAGATTGGTAATACTGAAAAATTTAGCTTTGATATCTCTGGGATTGTTTAAAAAAAGATTATTTAGCCAGGCACGGTGGCTCATGCCTGTAATCCCAGCATTTTGGGAGGCTGAGGCAGGCAGATCACAAGGTCAGGAGTTCGAGACCAGCCTGCCAACATAGTGAAACCCCGTATCTACTAGAAATATAGAAGAAATTAGCCGGACGTGGTGTGTGCGCCTGTAATCCCAGCTACTTGGGAGGCTGAGGCAAGGAGAATCACTTGAACTCGGGAGGCAGAGGTTGCAGTGAGCCAAGATTGAGCCACTGCACTCTAGCCTGGGTGACAGTATGAGACTCCATCTCAAAAAAAGGATTATTTGTGAGTGTCTTTTAATTTTTCTTTTAAGACAATGGGGTCTTTACTTGGGTTCAGGAACTCCTGAAATGGTATAAAATTTCTTCTGTGTATATGCATGTGTTATTTTCCTAAGGAAGGGTTCTGGACCTTTAAAGGTTGGAGGGTACTGGCGGACTGACTGCTTTAATAGAATACCCCTCTCTGTCTGTTTTGTTTTGCTTTTTTAAGACAGGGTATCACTTTCATCACCCACGCTGGAGGGCAGTGATGCAATCTCAGCCTCCACCTCCCACACTCAAGCCATCCTCCCACCTTAACCTACTGAGTAGCTGGGAACAAAAGTGTGCGCCACCATGCCTAGCTAATTTTTGTATTTTTTGTAGAGACAGGGTTTCACCATGTTGCCCAGGCTGGTCTCGATCTTCTGGGCTCAAGCAATCTGTCTGCCTCAGCCTCCCAAAGTGCTGGGATCACAGGTGTGAGCCACCAAGCCTAGCCCCTCTCAGTATTCTTAAAGTTTGATTTGATACGATTTACCAAAATTCACTACTTGTCAGGAACACATCCGAATTCTGCGAGGTTAAATATTTTAATCACTTTGTGGTTTTAGGGGCATATGTTCCATAGCATGGATTTGAGTCTTACAAACATTTGATTATCCAGCTTCCCGGGAACTGGCTAAAATAGTAGCTCCCCTGTAAACACTATCATTGTATCGCAGTCTAAACTTGATGTTCTGAGATTAGCCATCTTTGCATAAATTGAACAGGATTCTAAATAAAACCTAATCACAGGATTCTAGGTTCCTTTCATCTACAGAGTGCTGGAGGTAGAAAGAACAGAGATAATCTTGCTTAGCCTGCTGTTCATTTGCTTACCTAGTGGTGAGGAAATTCTGCCCATGGCTGGATCTCTTTAGTTCCCAGTTCTCGGTTGAAGCCCAAAGAAAAATGCCCATCTAGTGGGCTTCTTTCTCATTCAGAATGGAGCACCCTCAGATTTTAAGGATTTTTAGGCTAGATGAAGAGTCATGAGAGCAGTTTAATTAGTTAAATTAGACCTGAAAAGAAAATAACTTTGAAGATGTAGCCAAATAGACCTGGTGTGGTGGCTCACACCTGTAATCCTAGCACTTTGGGAGGCCGAGTTGGGCGGATCACCTGAGGTCAGGAGTTCAAAACCAGCCTGGCCATCATGGTGAAACCCCACCTTTTTTTTAAAAAAAAAAAAAAAAAAAAAATTGTTTTTCTATTAAAAAAAAAAAAAAAAAAGATGTAGCCAAATAGATAGCAGGATACATCAGAATAGTTAACAGAGTCTCCTTATAATTTGGTGGCTCTTGGATAGGTTCTTAGTTCTAGTATCATTTTTAGGGTTTTTGTGTGTGTGTAATATGGCAAGAAACCACAGAACTAAACAGAGCGTAAGTTTTTGGAAATTTTGGGTTGTTTGGTTTTTTTTTTTTTTTTTTTTAGATGGAGTCTCTGTCACCCAGACTGGAGAGCAGTGGCATGATCTCGGCTCACTGCAACCTCCACCTCCCAGGGTTCAAGCAGTTCTCTTGCCCCAGCCTCCCAAGTAGCTGAGATTACAGGTGTGCAACACCATGCCTAGCTAAAGTTTTTTGTATTTTTTAGTAGAGATGGTGTTTCACCATATTGGTCAGGCCGGTCTAGAACTCCTGACTTCAAATGATCCACCTGCCTAGGCCTCCCAATGTGCTGGGATTACAGGTGTGAGCCACCACTCCTGGCCAGAACATAAGGTTTTTTTGAAGGCAGAAGTAGTGTCATATTTACACACACTGCTTGGCACACAGATGCTTGGTAAATGTCACAGAATTGAAAGGAACCTCTAGCACTTTAGTCTCTGCCTCTGTACCCCCCTTATCTTCCCTGCCTGTCTCCCTGTGTTTCTTTCTCCCCATTGCTTCCTCCCTCCTTCTCCTGTATTTCTTTCTTTCTTTCTTCTTTGTCCTTTATTTCTTTAGACCCTTAAATGTTCATAATGGGAAACTGAAGTGTTTCTTTCATGATTATTTTAGTTATTGTATAAATTTATGTTGAATATTCTTCTTTGACCAAATAGGCAAACTGAATACTTCTTGTTTCTTCTAAATGAATGCAACTACTTAAATTCCCTCTCAAAATTTTTTTTTCTTGAATTTCTTCTTGAAGAGTTTTACTCTGTTGCCCAGGCTGGAGTATAGTAGTGTGACCTCCACTCACTGCAATTTCCACCTCCCAGGTTCAAGCAATTTTCTTGCCTCAACCTCCTGAGTAGCTGGGACTACAGGTGTGCACCACCATGCCTGTCTAATTTTTGTATTTTTAGTAGAGATGGAGTTTCATCATGTTGGCCAGGCTGGTCTTGAACTCCTGACCTCAGGTGATCCACCCATCTCGGCCTCTCAAAGTGCAGGGGTTGTAGGCGTGAGCCACTGCACCCGGCTCCCAAATATTTTGTTTTGTTTTGTTTTGTTTTTGAGACGGAGTTTTGCTCTTGTTACCCAGGCTAGAGTGCAATGGCGCGATCTCGGCTCACCGCAACCTCCGCCTCCTGGGTTCAGGCAATTCTCCTGCCTCAGCCTCCTGAGTAGCTGGGATTACAAGCACGCGCCACCATGCCCAGCTAATTTTTTGTATTTTTAGTAGAGACGGGGTTTCACCACGTTGACCAGGATGGTCTCGATCTCTTGACCTCGTGATCCACCCGCCTCAGCCTCCCAAAGTGCTGGGATTACAGGCGTGAGCCACTGCGCCTGGCCCCAAAATTTTTATCTTTCTCATTAAAAGTGTAATTCATACTCAGCCAGACATGGTTGCTCATGCCTGTAATTCCAGCATTTGGGAGGCCGAGGCAGGTGGATCTCTTGAGCACAGAGGTTCGAGACCAGCCTGGGCAACATGACAAAACCTCATCTCTGCAAAAAATACAAAAGTTAGCCAGGGGTGGTGACACATGCCTGTGGTCCCAGCTGCTTGGAAGGTTGAGGCAGGAAGGATTGCTTGAACCCAGGAGATCGAGGCTGCAGTGAGCTGCAATTCTGCCACTGCACTCCAGCCTGGGTAGCAGAGCAAGACCTAGTCTCAGAAAACAAGACAAACCAAAAAAAGGGTAACACACACTTATTAAAATATATTAGAAACTATGAAAATTACAAACAAAATAAAATCTCATCACCCAGGAGATTACCACTCTTAACATTTTGGCATACACCCAGTAAAAAAAATTCAGTTCTTTAGTTTCCTAACACACATATGGACGATAGTTTGTATAAATGTTTATGTGTTCATGTGTATAGTAACAAAACAAGTGTTGGGTCTTTATTGTAACCTGCTTTTTATTTTACTGTATTATGTCATTATTAGCAATATAATTTTAATGGCTATATAATATTTCTTCTTGTAAATTTGCTATAATAATAGCTATACGTGTGTATAATAATACACAGGTATGTCAGGTATTAGCTTAAGTGCCTTATCTCATTTAATGTACCCTTTGCAACAATCCTATAAAGGAAGGATGGTTTTTTTGGGTTTTGTTTTTTTGTTTTTTTGAGACAGAGTCTTGCTCTGTTGCCTAGGCCAGAGTGCAATGGCTGGATCTCCATTCACTGCAAGCTCAACCTCCAGGGTTCAAGTGATTCTCCTGCCTCAACCTCCCAAGTAGCTAGGATTACAGGCACGTGCCACCACACCTGGCTAATTTTTTGTAGTTTTAGTAGAAACACGATTTTGCTGTGTTGGCCAGTCTGGTCTTGAACTCCTGACCTGAGGTGATCCACCTGCCACGCCCTCCCAAACTGCTAGGATTACAGGCGTGAGCCACTGCGCCTGGCCAGTAAAGGATGTTTTCTCCATTTATTTAGCCGGTTCTCTGCTAGACATTTAGGTTATTTCTGTTTCCAGTTTTTCTACTGTTATAAATAGCCACAGGCCAGGCAGTGACTCATGCCTGTAATCCCAGCACTTTGGGAGGCTGAGGTAGGAGGATCACTTGAGCTCAGGAGTTCAAGATCAGCCTGGGCAATATAGTGAGACCCCCATCTCTATTTTTAAAAAATTATTTTTAAACCCAGAGGGAAAATTTGCCTTATTTGCCCAGCCCTTTATAATTTAAATAAAATCCTTGCTGATTTGATAGGTGAGAAATGATTTCTTATATTAACTTGCATTTATTATTAAGTAAGATTGAACATTTTTATTTTCTTGTAGTTATCAATGTATTTTTTGAATTACTTGTGCCTTTTTTGTGCTCATCTTTCCATTACAGTGTTTGACTTTTTTTATTTCATTAATATTGAAATACTTTCCCCTGGTTTGTCATCTGCCTTTTAATATTATTCATAGTGTCCAAACTGGGAAAGCAGCTAGATGGTGAAGTTGGACAAATCTGGCTCTGCCACTCACTAGCAGAATTGTGTACCTCTCTAGGCCTCTGGTTTGATATTAAGTAAGAATGACAGTAGTACCTAAAGGGTGCAGGAGAAATGTTAACATTTTAGAGAAGGATTAGC